CCCCCTGCAGGCCGCGCACACTGGAGACCGCGCGAGGAGGAGGAGGAGAAGAGGAGGAGGAGGAGGAGGAGGAGGAGGAGGAGGAGGAGGAGGAGGAGGAGGAGGAGGAGGAGGAGGAGGAGGAGGAGGAGGAGGAGGAGAAGGAGGAGGAGGAGGAGGAGCACGCTACCAAAGGGGGAGAAGAGAGAAAGAAGCCGGCAATCGGCTGAATAAGCCCTACAGTCGGGGCCCTGAAGAAGGAACCCTTTTGGTTGGGGAGGGGCTCTGCGTTCCTTAAGTGTTTCGCAGCTTGCCTCAGGTTTTCCTTAGGTTTTCGATACGGAATCGAATTTCAACTTATGGAAAATAGGGGCCTCGTTCCTCATTTAGGGTTCCTTAGGTCAACGCCCCGACTGTAGGGGGGCCCATCGGAGAGGGCCTTTTTGGCACCCTGGCAGGGAGACCAAAAGGCCTGCCAGGGGCCAGCGACAGGGCCCCCTCTGGGCAAACAGCTGACCGTCTTCAAGTTGCACACCAGTTCGCTGCCATACTCACACGAGTTCAGCTGATGCCACTGTTACACACCATCGCTCATACCCCTGCAAGCCGTACAATTAGCAAGCCTACTCGGCGTGGCTGAAGGTAGCACCAGCCGACCTCCCTCCCTCGCTCCCTCCCTCGCGGCATCCCCACCCCTCGATCCATGCCTCCCTCCCTGCCTTCTCCAGCCCTCCCTGCCTTGGAGCCAGTTGGGGAGGGGGGCTCCGCTTCATGCAAGCCGAAAGCCTGCAAACAATCGGCCGAGCAGCGGGGGTCGGGAGTCACAAAAGACACCCCCACGCTTCGCTGGCCTTGTCGCTGGGCCCCTGGGCCGCCCCCAAAAACCTCCCGAGCCCGCTCCCCAGGCGACCTCCAGGGGCCTAGCTTAAAGGCGCGATTGGGGTGCTTAGAACAGAACGGAGCACGGCTCGAGCGTTCTTGCGGCCAGGGTCGAGTAAACTCGCTTGGGCCCCAGGACAGACAGACTTAAAGCCTCTAGCTCCACCCGAGACCGTCGCGTAACCCCCGCAGGTGGAGCAACACAAATAAAGGGGGCGAGCCCTTGGCCGAGAACGGGGAACTCCAGAGGCTGGTGGCCGCCTTGGGTCCAGGGGGCCTGGCGGGCGTCACTGGCCAGGCTGACCAGCTCGGGGCCCAGGGGCACCGCGGGCAGGTCCTGGGAGGGGTCCTCGGTGGCAGGAGGGGGGGCAGCAGCAGCAGCAGCAGCAGATCCTCCCTCCGCCGCCTCCCGCCGCCGAAGCTCCTCCAGGTCCTCCTCCAGGCCTTCGCCGCCCTCGAGCGAAATAAGGGTGAGCCCCTGGGCGCCCACATTGTCATAAAGGCCAAGGTCAGCGTAGTGCACCTCGGCTCGGGCTATGAAAGTAATGAGCTGGCGGGCCAGATGCCGCATACCTTTCGCGACTAGCATATCTTGCGGGTCGTGCCTGCCGAGGTCTGCACCTAGCTCGGCCAGGCGGTCGGCGGCGTCGTCGCCCGCTTTCTCAAAGTGGCTGATCCTGCCCTCCCGAACCTCTTCCATGCTCGAATGGGCCTTGACCTTGCAGAACACGATACGGGAGACAGCATTTCTGTCGTGCAACCCTTCCCACAGGTGCATGCGAGTGTTAGCTGGACTCTCGGCCCAGCTGCGCTGGCTGCAGCAAGCAAGCGTGCCTTTACAATTTGAGTAGAGCGTGAACGTGCCGACTAAAAAACTGGAGGCCATGAAAACTGCCAAATCGTCGCCGTCGCGGGCGACTTGGCCTGGAAGCGTGGCTGGCGGGACAGCTCCATACCAGCCTGTGATCCAGCGGCGCTCGCTGTCATACGTGGCCACTCCCCAGCCTGCAGAGCGCAACGAGGGGAACATCCCATCGCGAGCCGAGCCGTCACGAAAGACGTGCGCATCCTCCACCGCAAGGCTGGCACCAACTCCTTCAGCCTTGAACTCCCGCGCTGGATCCCAGGGCCTCCGCGCGAGGAGCTGACAGGGGTCAGGGAGGATGCCGCGAGCGAAACGCTCCTGCAGATCGACCGAGCAGCGGAAGACTCGAACCGCCGATGCTTGGAGCTCAGGCGGGAGATCATCTCGGCGCCAAGTTGCACGGGCAGGGCACTCAAAGTGCCCGCGAAAAAAAGGGTGTCGCGAGCACCGTGACAGATGAGGCAGTCTGCCTCCAGCTGAGGGTCGTGCTGGTGCAGCTTGTGCTGGCACCAGTGCGAGCCCATGACAAGGCCTCTCAAGGTCCTCTGCTCCCGCAACCCCCAAGCCCCGCCACTGCCCGACTCCACCCCGTCGTCGTCGTCGCCTAGCACCTTGCAGTGCAACCTCTCGCTGAGGGGCCGCCAAACAATCTCGCCTATCCAACCTCTGCCTTGTCCAATTTTGCTAAGGGCACGGTGGTCCGACAGGCGCCTAGCGGCAAGGCGGGCACGGCCAGCCACGAGCGCAGGCGAGACCGAAGCCAGGGACCAAACCTCACCCGAGGCTTCGTGCAAGGTCCAGGGGCCAGCAAACGTCATCCCTCGTCTGGCAGCAGTGAGGGTCAGGGCTGCAACAGGGTCCTTGGCTTGCGCCCAAGGGCGGGCTTTCGCCGCTGCGGCCTGCCCTCGGGTAAACAGAAAGCGCAGCGCAGCGGGAGCTAACCGCCATCTCTGAGTATCTGCACATAGGTTTACAGAGCATCAGCGGTTACCAAGACCAAAGGGTCTCGGGTCCAGCCGCCACGCGAGCACATGGGCGCTAGTTCCAACGAGCAGCCTCGAGGAAGGCGCCATTCGGCGCGCAAAGCGGCTAGCCTAAGTTGTTTATGTTTGCCGCCGGATGTTGGCCCCCCAAAGAGCCTCGGCCCGAAACCCCGCCCGAAGGGGAAAAAAAAAAAAAAAAAAAAAAAAAAAAAAAAAAAAAAAAAAAAAAAAAAAGGCCCGCTGGGGCTCCAGCGTTCCGAAGGGCCACGAGTGTTCCGACCTTGGCTTGGGCGGGGCAAGAACGATCGCGGTGAGTACTGACTCGCCTGCGGCTGCCGTCGGTCGCGCCCCCTCCGAGGTCTCGGGGGACCTGGGCACGCGCCGACTCGGGGAGGTCATTGTCGAGGAGGATCCCGTCCGCCACCTCCCCGAGGAGGAGAGGAGGCCGAGCTTGTAACGAGCATTTGCAGCCCTTTGCTTTTGAGGCCAGCCGTCACCATGCGAAAAGCTTGCCCTAGCTCCTTGCGAACAACCTCCTTACCTACGACTGCGCGCAGCGAAACGTCGTCGATGACATTCTTTATCCAGACGACTGGGCTGGCCGTCGCTGCGCGCCGCAGACAGGCCAAGAGAAGCAAGCGCGACGGCGTAGTGGCCGCAGAGAACCCTGCCACCACCGTGCCGTTGGGCACGAGGACTCGGCTGACAGCTCCTTGCCAAGAGACTCTGCGTGGCGCTCTATACATCGAACAGCAAGCCCTCGACAGGGCTTCCGAAAAACCTGCGTGCTCGGCAACGCCTCAGCCCCTGGAGCGAGATGTGTTCATCATAGAACTTCAGCAGATCAATAAAGAGTGCGCTGGATGCCCAGCCAGGGTGGGCACGGGCATAAGCTGCAAGCGCTGTGAACCCAAGCGTTTATATCGCAGGCCGCGCCGGCGCTCGTTCCCCCAAAAGAAACGCTCATCAACACGACGCTCCAATTCTGAGCACAGCCTGCGTCTGACTCTGCTCCCAGCCCTCGCCCAGAGGGGAAGCAGCCCGATCGGTCGAACTCCCCCCGACGGCTTGTCGAGGACAGCAGTAGCCGCATCTGTCCGACTTCTGGGCGCTTTTCCCAAGCCGAGAGGACGGCCGCGAAGGCTACGACAAGCGGCCGAGGGAGCTGCAACAGATGCCGTGGGCTGAAAGAGTCCCAGCCCAACGCAGTGGTCGGGCTGAAAGAGGCCGCCGCTTCAAGCACTTGCTCTGCTGTGATTTGTTCGAGCGTCTCCTCCACTGGCCAGTCTAGGGGGCGCTGCTCCCCTTCGCGCGCTCCGCTGGTCCCGATGGGGACCCGTTCCTTCGAAGTCTGCTCTGGAGCGGCCTGGCCCACCAGAAGCGCAGGCAGACTAGCCGCAGTAGCATGGTCATCGTCGTCTGCAAACACTGGCAGGGGCGGAGGGGCAGGGCCTTTGCTGTACCTGTGAGCGACGCGACCTCCCCCAAACGACCGGCGACCTCGCCCGCGACTTCCGCTCCTGTCGATCTGCTGCCGCCCCCCTGCTTCGCCCTGCTGGCGACCTTGGCTTGGGCCGCGTCTGCTAGCAGCCCTCG